TGTAGGATAGGATGATGGTTTTTTTTGTGGAAAGTGTAATTACATTTTAGGATTTTAGGCGGAGAATGCTTAGGCGGTAGAATTTTCTCTCTCCAGTGTAGTGATGTTAGGTATAAGATGATTTTTTTTTTGCAGAAAGTGAAATTACATTTTAGGATTTTAAACGAAAAATGCTTAAGCGGATGAATTTTCTCTCTCAGTGTAGTGCTTGTATAGGATAATTAATCATAATCTTTTTTTCCCCTAGCCCACCATTCCCCACCTTTCTCTATCTCTCTCCTACTCGAGAGTTCAATTCCACTTAATGGAGAAGAACAAAATCCCTAAAAAAATATATGTTTTTAAATACACAAATATGAGCTGAATTTCTACCTTAAAAAATGGGAAAATAATTTGAATATCCCAAATTTTAAAGCGTATGAGATAAGTACTACAAACTTGCACATGTATTATATATATATATATATATATATATACACACACACACATATACACCCCAAACTTTATATAAAAAGTTATATTAGCATCATGATCATATATATTTTCACAAATATAATTTTATGTTATTATTAACTTCATAATTCAAAAAACGCATAATATTGTTGAGGGTGTAACTAAAATTAAATGGTACCAGATTTAACATTATTTATTTCACAAATGAAATTTTAGAATGTTAACTGCATTCTAACAAATCTTAGAGTATTTTAAATTATGTAATTATTCTAATAAATTTGTATTTGTAAAAAACATAAAATCATGTGAAATAACTTTTTATATAAGTTCAGGGTTTTGCCAACAAAAAAAATATAAGCTCGGGATATATATTACATATGCAAGTTTAGGGTACTTCTGTCACAGCTCATTAAAGTTTTGAGTATTTAAATTATTTTCCCCTAAAAAAGTTTGTGGAGTATATTTTATACATCTTATAAGTTTAAACTCCTAGTACTCAAATGTTATATACCCTTGAGGCACAATCCTAATATATATTTAGAAATTGCTCTAAATAGGAGCGAAAATGCTTTGAAATTTCAAAATAGGAGTATCATGTTTTTTATTCCCTGAATAGGAGTAATCTGCCAAGTTTGAAAAAAAAACGACATGTTTTAAAGTCTAGTAATACCAAATTTGGCAGAAATTTACTCCTATTTAAGGAATAAAAAACACGATACTCCTATTTTGGAATTTCAAAACTTTTTTACTCCTATTTAGGGAATTCACCAAATATCTACGGTTTAGGAAATTGAGTATAATTAAGAAATTAAAAAGGTTTAGTTAAGAAAAATAATATGACGTATTTGTTATTGTAGATTATATAGAGAATGAAGAGACTTTTTTTTTGGAATCTTCTTCTAAACTTATTATAATATATACTGTTGTTAATGTCAACATCATTGATGGGGTGAGACTCCAACCTGTGACATCTACTTTGGGAGATCAGTAGTGATGTCATCAAATACAAGGTACTTGGCAAAATGAAGAGACTATTATAGAGTACTCCCTCCGTCCCTAATCTTTCTCCCTTTTCGGCTGAGCACATTTATTAAGATAGTGAGATTTGTGTGGTGGAGAGTTGTGCAGAGGAGAGAGAAATGTGTAAGAATGTGTAAGAATGGTTGTGAATCACAAATTTTTTGCTAAAAGGGGGAAGAGGAGATAATTTTGGGACGGACGAAAAAGAAAAGTTTGAAGATAATTTAGGGACGGAGGGAGTAACTTTTAATGGAAAACTAATTGGGGAGAAAACTTAATTTTCTCATTGTGAGTAAAAAGTGATACAATTAAGTGGTGATTTTTTTTGTTACGGAGTATATAGAAAGTGTTGGTGATGTCATGATTAATACCCTCAAATGGTACAACATCGACATTGGTATATCTTATTGGATGTATTTTGACACATTATTAATCTTCATCGCCACACATTATTTATTTTACATAGGTACTTGTCTCATTTTATTCATACATTACAATTTTTTATCACTTTATTACGCTTTTTAATAAAAATTGTTAAAAATTATTGAATAAAATATCCCAAGTCGTACATCGACACCTCGTACATCGAACGGGTGAGCTACTAGTAAACCTAATTAAAACTACTAGTGAATAAAAAGAAACTAATTTTGTTCACTCTCCATCCTAGTTGCCTACCATGGCATGACAACTCTTTATTATTTGGCCCTTGTTTTAATTTTTTCATTTTTAATTAATTTTTTTTTTAAAAAGTGTCAAATATTTTCATTTTTATGATCTTTCTAAGTGGTACCATTATTGCATATGAAAATTAAAAAAATTACAGCTAAAATTAGATATTTAGAAAAAAAGTGATTTATTTTCAAGTTTTATATACATTATTGATACCAAATGAAAGATAATAAAATTTATTAAATTTGATATAATTTTTTATTAAAATTGGACATTAAATAAAAAGTTATAATAATTTAAAGAAAAATAGGAAATGAATACCACATGGCAGTAAGAGAAGAAAGGAGGTGAATCAGGCCTGTCAATGGGTCGGGTCCGGGTCGGAACGTAGTATTCCAGACTCGGACCCGCTAAGTTAATAATGGACCCGGACCCGACCCGTTTACCCGACAGGTCTCAAAATATGGACCCAGACCCAACGGGTCTCGGAATCGGGTCGGGTAGACCCGCCCGCCAAGTATGATACGCACACCATTATAAATTTGGTGAAAATAACAAGACATGTATGTGAAATATAAAACAAAGTGCACAAATTTAAAAGCAAAATACATCTTCACTTAAAATCAAGATCTCTAATAGAAAATTAGTACTTTTATCTAATAAAATATCAGTTCTTGTACAGGCATATTGCTCCACACTCTGCGTCGCTTTCTCTCGCACAAAAAGCTCGTATAATAAACTAGAAATTAAGTCATAAAAAGGTCTTTTGGACTACTAAGAGTATAAAATCATATGTAGTATTATACGATAGTATATGATAATGATATAATAATACTAAAAATAATAGTAATAAATATTGTGCTTTTAGGGTATATTACTATCTCGATCAGTATCACTTATATAGTAGTTATGTATTAATGTGTATAATTTTATTGAAGATTCACAACTAATAACTTTATGTATTATTATGTATATATGTATATTAGTTTCTATTTTATTTAAAGTGTTAAACCTAATCACTTTATGTATTAGTGTCTGTGTATAGAAATAAAAATTTTTAAACGGATCCGAGTCCTTAACGGGTCGGAATCATATGTACCATACCTGACCCGTTTATTTAAAATTCTAACGGGGCCAGATCCGGATCCGGGTAAACAGAATAAAATATAGACTCATACCCATTAAAAACAATCGGGTCCGGATCGGGTCTAGGTCTAGACCCGATCCATTGACAGGCCTAGAGGTGATGTTCACCCTCCTTTAAAGGGGTGAACAAAGATGCACTTGAATATATAAAAGGTCAATTCTTTTCACATCCTCAAATTTCTGTTCATAATAACTTAATTAAATAAAAATAAATAAAATAATTCAAATGCCTAGGTTATCCTTTTTTTATTTGTAACCCACTTTCATATAAATCATGAAATCTACCTTAATGAAAATACCTTACATACAAATTGCAACCAGAAAATGTTGTACACCAATGAAGGTAACATGGTTTGTGCTTAATGACTACTTTATGAAATCATCATGCATGACTGGTTTATGTCGTTATATAAGCCAAGTCGATATCACCACCACCAATCTTTTTTTAATGAATTTTCACAAAACGAATTGTGGTGATAAAGTCATTTTAATCACTATTAAGCTTTTAAAACTTTCAACCCTTGATGCTGATTGTTTTCCCGTTTTTCCTTCCTCCATTCCCATGACATCACTGTATTCTTGGATGCCTATAATCAAATTCGCTTTGTCTTTCCTTTGTTCCAAAAAAAGGTGAAATCTCCCATCCCAGGAGCCCTCCACCCTGATCCGACAGGATGGTGGGGAGGTTAGTCACGGTGACTCAGTCAGCAGAATGACAGTAGGCTCATACACCCGTGCACACCAGAGGCCCAGCCTTATTTCAGGTTTTGTGACCTCCACCCGGTCGCTGCCATGCATGGTCTTTCCTCTTCCTCACATTTTGTCAATTCTAGGTGTTCATCATATGTTGTGCCATGCATGGTCTTTCCTCTTCCTCACATTTTGTCAATTCTAGGTGTTCATCATATGTTGTGTAATGCCATGCATGCCAGACCCTTCTTGAGCATAACTTCTTGTACAAACAAGCCATTGCAATCAAATGTCTAGGTTATCCTTATTATTAAATAACAACGGTCCTAGCAAAGTAATAAGGGTATGAAGAAACAAACAAGATGAGTTCACTAGTTCACCACTTCACCGGACCTATTGTCTGTCCGTCTTCCTATTTTCTCACTTTCATAGATCATAGAATTCTTAACAGGTATAATAGAGTATATGGACTCAGACCCCGTACTCATGACTATTGGGTCCGAATAGCAGCTCACGTACGCTCATTAGATAACATTTACATTTTTGTACACTCTATTTATTCATATATACATGTTAGAATACATTAAATATCATTTATTAGCGATTTATTGGCCTTTTATTGTAATTGAACCTGTCAGGCCCAACCTATAAGCTCATCCCACTTTTGTCCTATGAATAGTCCCTTTGGGAGCCATGTAAATGGTTGAAACATCATTTACATAATCTCTTTCTCTCTCTAGCTCTCCCTTCTCTCTAGGCAATATGCTACCATTCTTTCCTCTGAATACTGGGAATCATTGGGTTCTGTTAGTGCTAGACATCAAGCAAAGAAAGGTAAGAGTGTACAATTCCAATGCTAGAAGAGGTGATTTACTAAGGGATACCGGATCTTATTTTGCAAGCATAACAGTCCTCCTCCCAAGAATAATGGACTATCACAAAGTGTATAGATGGATAAGGATGCTATGGGTGAAAGTTCTTTGGAAGTGGAGCCTGTGGAAGGATGTCCACATCAAGATGATGGGTAAGATGATATAAATTTACTTAAATAGATTGTGTGATATTGTGCTTCTTTTTTTAACAGAGAAAGTTTAATTATAATTAATCAAAGCATGATGAAGTACATGAATAATAGAATCGGGCGGATTATAAGGCCAAATATAGCGATCAGTCACAGAACACTCCACCCTCGCCAAAGCATGAGCAACGGTATTCGCAGAACGCCTCACATGCGAGAAGAAAATACTAGTAAACTGCCTACTCATAATAATAATGTCTTCAGCCAAAAGTACTCTAGTCGAAACACTCAATCCCTTGAGAATCTCCATAATAGCTTGCACTGAATTCGATTCAACATCAATAAAATTCCACTCTTGTTCCTTAAGCCAACTTAGAACCTCCTGAATACCCATCAATTCCACCTCTACCGGGATGCTCACCCCGGCTTCTGACATGCCCCACCTGCTAAAAATTCCCCATGGTCATCCCGGAGCACCCAACTCAGCCCACACCTTGAATCTGTCACAGAAGCATCAATATTGAGCTTCATTTTCCCATGTGAGGGCCTTTTGCAGCGAACCATCCCAGCTTGCGCCACAAAAGCAGAGGAGGCAGAAGACTCTCTTCCTTTATGTGCTTTAGACAACCTTCGAAGAATGCAATACTCAGTACCATGCCATACTCGTTTATTTCGTTCACACCAAATCTCTCAATAGCCCAAGATTATTGCATACAAGTCCTCCTCCCCGCTTGCTTGGAAATTTGCTTCGAGCCATTCCAGAAGAGAGACCCAATTTTGCTCCAAGTTCTTCCATCCCAGCAGCCGACCAACCTCACGAGCCACCAAACATCCAACAAAAAGATGCAGGGACTATTCTTCAGCCATCTTGCAAAGTCCACACTCAATCGGACATTGTACTCTTCTATACCGCAGTGCGCTTCGGGTAGGAAGAAAACGAGAGCACACTTTCTAGAAAAAGGATTTAACTTTGGGAGGAGTTTTCTAATTCCAAACCTGCGTCCATCCTGCCCATTCTCCAATCGCCATCTCCCCCGATATCTTCCGATAATAGCTCCTGACCGAGAAATGTCCATCTGGTTCCTCCCTCCAAATAATACGGTCTGGGACCTGCCGCTTGCTAAGCTTGATTCTTTGAATGAGCTTCCCATCCCTGCAATTGAACACGTTAGAGAAAATATCAACATCCAATTCATCCCCATTTCCCCCTTGCCGCTAACTAAGTGAAGTATGGGTGAAGTAACCTTTGGATTTGTATCGTCCTGTGATAGTCCCCTTTTCTTAACGATAAAAAAATCATAACAGTGAAGAAGGAGCCGATAGAAAGATATCGAGAAGAGATAAATGAATTTGTTATACCGTGGACTAACGCTACTCTCCTCGAGAAGGAGAGCAGCGTAAAACCTAATCTCTCTATCTAGTCTATATTCTCTCACATCTTTTTGGATTCTTCGGTTTTCCATAAGTTAGCTTCCTTTTAAAGGAGAAGTTGACTAACTTATGGATTACAAGGAAACTAATGAGCTAATATACATTTGTGACACACATTACACATTTAATTAATAACTACACAAATACAAAGATATTTAATTAGATTGGACACCATAAAATATTCATAACAATCTCCCCATTGGTGTTCAATCGTGTTTAATCAGCATTGCAGCGCAGATATCTTTGTCTATGTGCTTGTTCAGCCATGTAGAGGAGAGCGTAGATAAAATCTGTTGAGTTGCTCCTCTTCTACAGTGTAGTTTAGCTTCTTTTGTCTTCCTTTTGAACTCAACTTCTTAAGAAGGCTTTCGGAAGAAATCCTTGCAATCTCCCCTTTGATGTCTTCTTGGCAATTTGATCTTTGATGTCGGGGGTTGAGGAATCTTCCTTTGGCTTGCTTGTAAACCTTGCCTTCAGAAGTAGCTCTTGATCAGCTTGAATGAAGTCCGGTGGCGCATCTAGAATGAATGTTCTTGAAGAATTGCAAACGCACATGGAAATCATATTCAGAATTCGAGTATCTGACCTTTGTCTCCTCCACAGTGTAGTCTTTTTGACTATTTGAAATGAATGCGTTTGAGGAGACCTTGTCGGTGACACAGCGGAAAATGATGGTTGACTTGTGAGCGTAGCTGACCATTTGGCAATTGAGGTGTAGAGATAGAAAAAAAAGGTGGTGAAGGAAGGAAGTGTCCGAGAACGATTTGTTGACAGTTAACAACATGTTGACCACTCTCCCCCTCATGACGATCCGATGAATCAGGGCGTCATGCCTTTATTCATTTATTCTGGGAAACAAAACATAAAAAGAAAATAGAAAGTTAAAATGATAAAACCGGATACACTGAGGTGTTCCGTTGACACAACATCAATGTAAACACCGTTGTGTGACATGTTTAGAATGATAGAAGCATTTAAAGCTCTAACAGGACTTCCAACCAATCATTATGAAGCATCTAAAGTAGATGTCACTCTGGTTGTTATGACATGATCATAAAGATCAACATTGAAAAAAACTTGCAGCCCCCCGAGGTCATGTAGACACTCGTTATCATCACGATAGAGATAAACTCTAAAGCAATGGCCTGAAAATGTTGGTGATTCTTATGATGCAACAACAAGACTTCCTTCCAATCATTGGTCTACATCTGTAATAGATGAGCCCTATGGAAGTTCTCGCGGGTCATGAAGACCTGCAACTGACTCAAAAAGTGCATCTGTGTCCTAGAAAATTCAAAACATATGGGAGTGAGCTAATGAGACACGATGTGATCAATGAAAGTTCAGTGGCATGGGGCTGAGGCCACTGTAGTCAGTATCACTTGCCTCGAAAGGAGACAGTAATGAGAGATAAGGTTCCCCGTGAAATGTGATTAAACACCTGTCTGTTGGGAGACAAATGAGTGGTCTTGGATAGGATTAAGCATGCACTGTTGGACAAGATGCAGAGACTTCTACTCGAGATCTGATTAAATCAGTCTTGAACCTATGGGGATAGTCCAGAGTATTTGAGTGGCTATGAGTAAATGTTCAATTGATAACAGGTAGTTGAGGTAGCAGGCTTATCATTGATTATTGTTTTCTTGCTCACTTGAGCCTTCTGTTTCCTAACGCTCATAATGTTCACTCACTCACTAACTCACTCACTTACTCTCGACTTTGTCCCTTGGGTAAGCTTAGTTGGGTTTACTAAGCCATAGGGATATGTTCTCTCATTATTATTTTTTGATTTTCTCTCTGTACTCCCCCTCAACTGGAGCACTCGGTATGCTTTGTCATTGTTAGGCATCGAGGAGGAGATCATTGAAAACTCCCCCTAAAATGTTGCATCCTTTGAGAGATTCCTTGCTTTGTCGGTGTAAGGCGCCAGGAGGAGAAAACAGAAACTCCTCCTCAGAATGTGCAAGGATTGATTGCTCATAGCTTGTCATACTCGTCATGTGTGTGGAGCAATATGAACAAGTACCACACATGACAGTTTCTCTAAGCTCATCATTTAGAATTTCAGCATATTGATGATCACACAATGTTGATGAGTTAGGGGAGGCTTTAGTAGTTTATTGTTGATTGTCGTAAGATAACCGTTGACGCGAGGTTGATTGAATTATCTATGATTTCCGGACCCCTGAGGTGTAGTTTACAAAAGCTTTGACCTTAGGTTTGACTTTGGAAAAATTTGAACAGATTTGCCTAAGCTTTGACCTTGACATCAGTGAATTACAATGTTTGTCGGAAAGCGAACGATATCTCCCTCAAGAACCGCGGGTGAGGGCGCGTGGTTAGGGGTTATGGAGTAAACCCCCAGAACTCATGTAGATCTTTTCGTTAGCTTTCCAACGACATATGATTCGCCTAAATCGGATCACCGAGTCAAAAGTTATGGCCAAAAAAGTGCGATGTCGCTGAAAATCTCGAATTTTGAGTTTTTGAGGAATTTCTTCGAAGTTGAGGTTCTCGATGTTGAATATCGAGAGCAGGTGGAATTTAGACAAATTATAAACCAAAACCTCGAAATCCTAATCTCGAGGTTTAAACTTCGAGATTAGAATCCCGAGGTTTAAATCTCGAGATTACAATCTCCCCTTTAATGGGGTGTAGAAGTTCCGCATTAGTAGACTCCCCCAACTTCCTTCCCACACATTGGAACACAAAATTATTATCCCCTTGAACAACTGAGAAAATGTTATTAGAGTAATCGCTAATAATTTTTCCAACTTCTCCGCAATCTTTCTCCCACCTTCCCCCTTCCAGCTTGAAGCCTTTCACTCTATTTTTCCTCCTCCTCTATTTAACCGCATTATGAAAATAACGTGTATTGAGGTCCCCTCCTTTTTCATTATGAAAATAACCAGAATTCATTTGTTCTTTTTTCGCCAATACAAATTTTCTTTCTCAAGAAGATCTAAGTACTCGCCTTTCACCCTTCCAAATTCGACCACACCCCAAGAATCAATGTGGGGACCGAAGGTCGGCGGCACTTCCTCTACATCGTCTTCAACTTCGATTCCGTCAGCATCCTCCTCTGCCAATGAAAAATGAGCATACAAGTCTTCCACGGTAGCAGTCAAATAGCGAGAAATGGTTAAATTCCACGTCGGGAAAGCTAGAAATCAACGATTAAAGCTAAGGCGGTCAGGAAACCCTAGAACGCTAAGGAAGAAAACTCCACTTATTAAATCGTTAATTGTGACACTTAGTGATATTGTACTTCTTTTTTTATTTGAAAAGGTGCTATTAAATTTTTGTGGGATATGGACGCCAACGACCCTAGGGCATAAAGGAAGCTTGTATAGAGAACATTCCAAACTTTGTTACACAAATCGAAGACACAAGAACACATCTGGTTCTTCCCTAATAGGCCAATATAAGAGAAGGTAAAACAGAGCATTAACTTTTTTAGGAAATTTCCATTTCCCTACCTTTTTCAACATTCCAAACAAAGCCTAAAACTACATGAGAGAACTCCTACTAAAAGTGACTGCAATTAGAAATTCAACTGTAACTCATAAAAAACAATCAAGAACATAATGAATAACATACATGATAAAAGTCTGAAATCCAATTTTATTAAAAGATTAACAAGAATGAATTCTAACAAAGGGTTTAAATACCCTTTGCTAATTCTCAAACTAGGAAACAAAATCATAGAAATTCTAATAAACTCCAAATATGAAATAGAATAATACAGATCCTAATTAACTTCAAATAGAAAACAAATAATAGAAATCATAATTAACTCCAAATGCGAAACAAATCAGAAAAATTATAAATAAATAAAAATTAATTAAACAGCCCGCAACCCGCCTACGAAGGTGGGCTCAAGCCCATACCCGCCTTCAGTACACCCACGGGGCCCTCTGCCCCTCTTCCTCCAAGCCCATATTTGTTTTCAAGGTTGAAATTCAGAAATCGGCTCAGATTTGTTCCTGAGGGCTGCCCAGTATCTTTAGGAAAGCTGCATCTCAATCCCCTTATGCTGCCACCACTCATGGACGTGTTGTTACCCCAACTTGGTCGCGAAAAACTGCATGAACGTGATTCCGTGTTGTAAAATTGGCTCCTGTAACCTCCATTCTGAAAGGACAGATTGTCTTTAATATCTCTGACCAATTCCAATGTGATATGCACTAATTAGTAGTGCATAAATGTATGTTTTTATGTTTGATTTGTGTGGATTGTTAGCCATTTAATTTAGTTTGTAAACATTTGTGTGATTTTAGTTGTAATTATATTTTAGTCTTCATTTGTAACTTGTAAAGTATAGTGAGAATTTGTGGTGTTGGAAAGGAAGACTTTGAAGTGAAGAAAAAGAAGATTTGACTGCCCAGGAGCAAATACCCGACCGGGTATAACCCTTCACCCGGTTGGGTAAGAAGTGAAAACCGAACATGCATGGAAATTGCATGGCCCAGATGGGCCCACTACCTCACCCGGTCGGGTGAGACTTGATCGGAGACAATTGGATGTGCTGAAGAACACGCTAACATGGGAAATATTTGATTTTGACCGGTACCCCGGTCGGGTGGGCACCATACCCGGTCGGGTACCCGACCAAAGGTGTTGAAAACACCTATAAATAACACACTTTTCCTTCACTAAAAATCATCCCTTCTTCCATATACTTAAACTCAGTTTAGAATAGCGTTTCTTTATATTTTTCTAGCTATGTTTAGTCTCCAAATGAGGAGCTAAACTTCCATTTCTTAGTTTTGCTCTTGAAGCTTGTTGATTATTAAAGTTGTGAGTTATTTTCTTAACTTCTCTCCTTGAATATTAATTCTTCCCTTAATCTATTTTTATATTAATGTTGGGGAGTGTTGCTAAGATGACAATTAGTCAACATCTCAATATTAATTATTACTAGAAACGATCAACGAACCGATGGTTAATCGTTGATGGTTTCACAAGTAAGTAACTTCGGTTTATTAATGCATGGTCGTGGTTAATAAACTTAAGAGTGATTAATTTTGTTGGTTAAATTGAAACCATTGTGTTGAGGTTATCAATCTCAATTGATTTCATCAAGGAGTTAGAAAGATTAAATG